CAGGAGCTGAGACACTATTCCTCTGCATTCTTCCTGCACTGCAGTGGGCCGTTCCAACTTCCAAACTGGGAAGACAGTGACCCAGAGGGTGACACCGGATGTAAACACATCCCCTCTTCCCACTCTCCCAAGGTGAAATGGGAACTGGTAACCCCAAGCAACTCACAGCCTCTTGGTCTCCCTATGTGGTCAGAAAGAAGTTTAGCTAGATTCCCCTCAAGTGTTCTCCGGCTCTGGGATAACTCAAGGCTAGGGAGCCCAGGATTATGAACTAAGGCCAACTGAGGCCTCAGACCCAGTGAGGTCACGTGAGGACACAGGTGTTTGCTCCGGGAGCTGCCCCAGGCTGGGAGGGAGAGTTTGCTGGGAGGAGTTTGAAGCACAGACCCACCTGCGCAGCGCAGGGCCTGTCTGCACTCTAGCGGCCTTCCCTTCCCAACTGGCAAGTTTTGGCAACAGTGGGCTGGACTAGGGCTTCTAGCCACCCAGCTTGGGAAACGTCAAAGCCCAAATCCCCTTACCGCATTCCTTCTTCTCTGCAGCCCATCTTCCGTAACAATCGGGATGGCCTCAGGGAATCCCCGGCTGGCTGCACGCCTGCAGGACCGCCCTCCCTCCCAGCTTGGGTGAGCAGACCTCACCCAGGCTGCTCCCCTCCCCCTTCCTGAAACTTGGAGGAAGAAGCAATGCCTGGAAAAAGCACCCTCAGCCCACAAGCTCCCTGTGGTTGAGAGAAAGGCAAAGGGAACAGGGAGCACCTTCCCGGGCTAGCCGCAGTGTGAGGCGCCATTCTAGGGGGAGATCATCCAGGGAAGCAATGGGTCAGACACCAGGTTCTCTCTACCAACAGCCCCCAGCCCACTCCGCCCACCAGCTTAGTAAGCAACAGGCTCTGGCAGGGAGATCCCCCTCCCCAGCCAGCAAAGCCTCAGCTCTTTGCTGGCTGACATGTGGCAGCTTCCTTCCTATATACTATTCCAGTACTTCTCATCCTTGCTCTTACTTCAGTTGGGGAAAGGGCCAAAGTGCTCCTGAGTGGGACAGCTGCCACCCCAACTCCACCCAAACCTCCCTCCAGGTCACACTGTCAGGGTAAGGAAAACACTCTAAGTACTTTGTCCTAGGCTGCCAAAAACACCTATGCCCACCTAGGTGAGCCGTTCACCCGAGGCCTGGGAGGGTAGGTTCCCCAGAGCACAATGGGACCTCTGGGAAACCAAGCTCTTAACTCTCTTCTCCAGGGACAGTCTCTTGTAACAGCAAGGATCTGGGTAGCCTGAGGTAAACCACTTGTAACCCAAGACCCAAGGAGTTAGAAAACAAACTTCATTTGGGCAAGCTACAGCGCGCCCCCCCCCCCCACACACACACACTGATTTCCTACCACAAGCAGAACACCCTGCATTTCCTCCTCCCCAGTAGGGGCGAAAAGCAAACAGGAGCTGGACCTGCACCTAGTGAATGGATAGCTAGCATTTAGTACAAACCTACTTACTATCAGCCCATCAATTTGCATGTGTAATCTTGTTTCACCTTTATAGCCACTGTACAAAGTACTACTCTCCTGTCCATTTTACAGAGGAGAAAACCGAGGATCAGGAAATTAAGCAATGCACAAGGCCACACAGCAAGTGGAGAAGCTAAGAGTATGAACCTGGGTGCTCAGGGGTGACTCCCATGCTCCCGCCTGGCTTCCTTCAGTCACTGCCAGCTGACTGTCCACACACCATCCAGGAATGGTGTTGCAGTGTGGAGGCAAATGGGTGTGGACGAGTTTTGCTTGATGGCTCTGGAATTTGAATTGATGTCCACACACACACACACACACACACACACACAACTGTTACAGTTCCGAAGTGTGTGACTGTGAGAGCTCATGTCAGTGTGCAAGAGGTGGGGATGGGAGGAGGGTGATCTGGATTCCAAAGAGCAGCCTCCAACACAGAAGTTATGCTGTAATGTTTCTGATTCATAAAATGAGCTCACAGTTCTCAGTGTCCCAAACGCTGCTTCGAATGCAAATGCAGGTTTCCTTGCTAAGAACTGGGGATTTCAGCATTCCCAGCCCAGGATACAATTTCCTCCAGCGTTATGATGAGCAGAAGCAGTTTCTCCAACAAAAAGCCACCACTGGCTGCATTTCCTGCAATCTCCAATGAGTCAGGAAAAAGTAGAGTTCCCCCTCACAGGCACCAGCTGGCCTTGTACCAGCATACATGCACACATACACGTACACACACACACACACACACACACACACACACACACACACCCTATCCTAGCCGGTTTAGCAGATCTCCAGACAGGAAGCTCTACAGTTCTCATTCTGAGGTCCCCATGGGGTCAGGATGACGAGACACAGGTTCTCAGAGGCTAAATGCAGAGTGGCGTCAAGGAACAAGATGTACCAACCAAACACTAGTATCATTTGTGGTGGACTGGTCCTCTTGAAATTAACAATGCAGGGAGGTGGTGCTCCCTACAGGAGAGGAAGGACTCACCGGACTTCGGCACAGCAAATCCTTTTCTTTTTTTTGAGGCAGAGACCACACAGCCCACCCAGGATGGCCTTAAATTCATGAGCTCAAATAATCCTCCTACACAACTGTCCCATACCCGCCTCCCAATTATCTGGGACTAAAGGGGTGTGCCATCAACCTTGGCAAGCACTTTTTTCTGGGGGGGGGGGGGACGGGGACTCACTCATTTACCTAACTAAGCTCTTACTGGATGCCAGGCATTGTGGAAACAGCAGAAGCTATCATTGTTTTGCATGTATTAACTCAGAGTCCACACATCAACTCTATGAAAGAGAGCCTATACCTCTAATACCACAATTTATGTGTGCAAATAAAGCAGCAGTTGGGTTTCAGAAGAAGGCCTTCAGCAGTGACATGTGAAACTGAACTAAAGGGGCAAGCAACACTCTCCCAGTACCTCATGTCCTCCTCACCCAGCATCAGCAAACTTTTCTCTTGAGTGACATACTGGCAAAGGCTAAAGATTAGTGGTCCAAGCTCACCAGCCAGGTAACTCTCCACCTTCTACACACCCCTGTCTTTCTCCAGAGTCCTTGGGGGTCAACAAGCCTTTCCCCAGGTTCTGCAGCCATGGGCAGCCTTCAGCTGCATCCACAACTACATATAGCCTCCCCACCTCCCACTCATTAAAAGCAGCAGCCTGAGATTTTAAAACTAGGGCTATTTTTAAAATCTCGTGTTTAAAAATTAAACTTTCTTTCGTCCTTCCGGGCATTCCAAGGAACTCTTTCTTGATCTGAGGGGTAGGGGTTCGACCTGGTGCTTGGGGCTGCCACCAAGACAGCTGACAGGCCTTCCCGGAGCAAGCTGTAAACCTGGGGACCTTCTCCAGGCTCTTTCACCCCTTGACCCCTGGGAGCTACAGACCAGAGAAACCAGCCAGAGGCCAATGCAATTAGAATGGAGACTGGGCCCGGGCTATGCAATGAGATAGTTTATCACAGTAATTGAATGTTTACACCCTGCAGAGCAGCAGGAAAGAGAGGCCCCAGAAGTCCCCAACCGAATAGCCTGTCCCATTGGGTTCTGGAGTCATCTGACCAGGCCGAAAGCGGGCAGTTCTCTGAGGTTAAAGGTGCACACATCATACTTTTTTCCCTGGCTATTCCTCTAGGTCTCAGGAGGATGGTTTCACCCCCCTCAGCTGTGGCACCCAAGTTGGAGTCAGAGGTCAGAGATACAATTCCATCTTCACCAGACCATCTTAGTCCTAAAACTTCAGGGTTGGGATCACCCAGGCCTCCAGGCCAGGCTCCCAGTGCTCGATGAAACCATTTTTCTCCTATGCAGGCACACCTCGGGTCCCCTCCACTCTCGAGCCACGGTGGCTTCAAATATCAACCACTGCTCCCCTAATCCTGCCTCCCCTGAGCAAACAGGTCCAAAGAGGGATGGTGGAAGCAGGAAGTAGCCGCCGAAGTTGTAGCCAACAAAGTTTAAAACAAGGCAAGAAACTTCCCCTTTCATCTTTCCAGCAGCCCGCGGCCGGAGATGGTTTGGAACACTCAGTGGCCTCCCATTTGGGTGCAGACGCCTCCTCCAGGTCTGCCTTGGTTCTGAGGCTTGAAAGGCCCAGGCACCCAAAGTTCCTCAGCTTCCCAAAGTCTCTCTAAGGCCTGGGTGGGGGCGCAGCGATGGTCCGCATGCCCCTCATTGTGCGCGTGTGAGGCGGGGAATGATTAACTCCAACAAGCCCGCCATATGCAGGCAGGGCCCAGACGAACCCGGGCTCCAAAGCTCACGACAAGCAGCCTGGAACACAGCACCCGGCCAGGGACGCGGGCGTGCGGGGGCGGGCGAGACAGATGACAGGTCTGAGGTGCACCAGCACGCGGGGTGAGGTGGCTCCACGCTCGTCGTCCGGCCCGCGCGCGCTCAGAGCTGCAGCCAGCCTAGGCCTCCCCAGCCCTGGCCCCCTTAACGACCCCATCGCACACCCCGCAGGTCTGTCCCCGCAGAGTCCCCGCGCCGCCACAGCGCCCAGCACGCTGAACGAGAAGGGACGCCCGCTCCAAGTTCTCGCTGCTCGCGAGCCTCTCGTCGCGCCTCCTCCCCGGCCCGTGCCGCCAGCGGGTCCCTGCGGCCACCACGTTGCTCTCGCGCGCGCAGGAGCAGCAGCCGCCGGCAGCGGGCGTGGAGAGGCTCGGGAGGGCTTTGCAGCCGGGGCCGCGCCTGGGTGGGCGGGCCGCGGGCGAGCTGCGTAGCTGCACAAACGCGGCGGGCGAGACCGCGCTGCACACGCCGCTGCGGGGCGCGGGGCGCGGGCCGGGCGGAGGAGGAGGAGGGCTACGGCGGCCCACGCACCGGCTCCCGCCGCCCCGCAGGCCGCAGAAGTTGGCCGCCGGAGGCCCCGCGTGTGCAGAGCTGCAGCCACCTCCTGCACGGTAGCCCCGGGGTCCCCTCGCTGGCCGTGCCGCCCGCAGGCCTCGGCCGTCCCCCGAGCAACACAACACCACTTACCCAGCTCCCGCTCGGCCTCCGGCCCCAGTCTCCCTCCCTTCCGCCGCGGGCCGCCACCGCCGCCTTGGGTCGCCTCCGAAGAGCCCAGCCGCCTGCACGCACTCCCGGATTTTTAAAAACAAACAGGCGCCGTCGCCTCCCTGCGGCGTTCGCCGGGCTTTCGCCAAGCCCGCGCCTCCCGAAGCTGGGAAGTTTGCTGGCAGGGCCCGGGCGGGACGTGCGTGCTGTCACCCGCTGCTCGACACACGGCAGCCTCGGCGCGCCCCGCGCCCGTACAGTCCGCCTCGAGAGCGCTCTCCCTCCCTGCGTGTCACCCCCAGTCCTGCGATGCAGTGTCAGGATTGCACGACTCTGACTCATCGGTTGAGCTCACAGCTTGAAAAAAAAAAAGGGGGGGGGGGAGAGAGAGAGGGCGAGAGGCAACAGCAAAGGAGGAGGACTCGCTGGCGTGCTACAAAGGATTGCACAACTCGAGGCTGGGAGCGCAGAGCGCCCAGTGGCTGGCCGGCGCGCGCGGCACGGCGGCGAGCAGGAACCAGCTCTACCACTTCATCAGCACAACTGTCTCTGGGCGGCCTCTCCGCCTGCAAGCTCCGCGCCGCCCACTTCCTGCGACCAAATAAGGCCTGGGAGGCGTCTTTAAACCTCAGGGCGGCTGCCGGGCTGGGGATTTCCAGCAGACCTCACCTCCACTAGCAGAGGCTTTGGCCACCCTCCACCCCAAGCCTAGCCTAGGCCTGAGCCGCCCCCCGCCCCCAACCCCCCACCCCATGGCTCTTCTGTAACCAACAGGCCACGCTGCTTGTTCCTTGCACATCAAGGTCAGGAGGAGACAGTGACGAAATGTTTGGAAACCCATCCAGCCTGCCAGGAAAGAGAGAGAGAGAGAGAATGTGTGTGTGTGTGTGTGTGTGTGTGTGTGTGTGTGTGTGTGTGTGTGTGATAGTGGAGAGGGCACAAGAGTGTGTGATGGTGGAGAGGGCACAAGTCGCTTGCCTCCGCAAAGAAAACTGTGGCTAAGGAGACAGTAAAGCATGCACAATCCTCTCTGAGGCACTTGAGCAGCCTTGCTGGGTTTCGATTTCTAAGCCACCAGCCTGCCCATGGTGTGAAGGTTATAGAGAAACCAGCCCTGGCCCTATAAAGGACTCACGTGACCATTACTTAGGAGATGAAAAGCTCCTGGGTTGAATTCTCACAACTCAGGCCTAAGTTGGGCAGTACTGACTCTAGGACACATCCCTGTCCTTCTCTCCCTTGCCTTCCTTAAACGGCCCTGACATAATTTTCTGGTCGTAGCCTGTGATGCCTCTTTTCCTGTTTGGTGAATGACGGGAAACTCAAGAGGTCTTCCAGAGCTGAGGGAAAGTCAGAAGTCTTTTGCTGTTTGGATGTTGTTGCTTCTCAAGATGAGTCAGAAGGTTTTTCCTTCAAAGGAAAAACCACTAAGGAACACACTGTGTTCTGAGAGAAGACACTTTCCCCTGCGACCCATCCATCCTAAGTGTCAGGTGCATCCCTTCCTGTCTCAGGAGTAGAAGGACAGCGGAATGATTCTCACCCTGACATTGCAGGGCCTGGGCCTGCACCTTACATAGAGAGTGGATGACGCAGACAACAGGGGACCTTCTTCATAGAAACTTGCAAGCCCTAAGAGGCATGGCTTTCCCAACCATCCTCTCCCAACTCTGCTGGCTTCATCGCTACCCATGTGTACCTGCACCTGGGAGGTGCTCCTTCCCCCAGAGGACAAGGGCTTACTTGTCCTATGTCATTACAGACGGGTCAAAGAATTTTAGCTACAAAACACCAGTAAGCATGCCAGGGAACTAGACCAGATGGCATCCTAAAAATCTCTTCCGGCTTGAGATCCATGATTTTGTGATTATAAAAAAATGAATGGAGGAGCCTGGGAAATCCCTTTCTACAAGGAAAAGTCCAGACACCCCAGCTTAGCATCCACCATGACAAGTCTCCGGACACTTCCCCATAAGCGACTGACCAGCTATGTGAGAGTGTTTTAGAACTCTCATTCATCAGATGGAAACAGGGTCAGAGAGCTTGCTTGTATGCCTTGCATAAGGCCACAGGGTAACTCCATCATCTGTCACCTCTCTTCCTCTAGTCCCCCAAAGAGTAGATGACTGACCAGTTAAGGTAGGCAGTATCCTCCTGCCCTGCCCCCTGGACAGGCTAGACCCTCAGTGCTCCTGGCAGAGGCCAGGTCTAAAATTCATTCTGGTCTTTTCATTTGCAGGTCTCGTCCTCCCTGTGCCAGTTCATCCAGGTGAGGAAAGCAAAAGCACTTCACTTGGTCTCTAGTGTCTTTCATTAAGCCTGCAGCCATCCTGATCTTCTTGAGGGCTCAACCCCGGCAACCAACCAGGGCCTGCCCAGAGGGAGCCCCTGAAAGAGAATATAAACCAGTCCCGGGACATCCCCCAAAATGACCTAGCTGGGGAGCACATTCCTAGAAGAGTCTACCACCATAACGCCAGGCCTCACAGGAACCAGCAGGAACCGCTGCAAAGAGCATTGCTCAACCTGCTCAGGGGACTTCCTCTCCCACCACACAAACTGCTGGGCCTGTCCCAGAAGTCGCATGGGGAGGAGAGGCAGGTGGTAAGATGTACAAGAAAGAGAAGTCAGTGGCCCTGAGAGATCCGCCTACCTTAAGCAGTGCACTTCTTCATTTAGCTCAACTTCTGAATTTGGACCACCTCTGAAAGGAGGGGAGGGGCTGTCCTGACATGGTAGAAGGCTACCTCCCACCTACAGCCTTTCTGGGATGGCCTTGGAGGTCAGTCTTCCTGCAGGCATGACATCGCAGAATCCCTGACTTATGAAGTGAAAGTTGCCTCTGAGCAACCAAGAAGGTAACCTTTCAGAGCTGGGGGGTAGGGGTAGAGCAGCAGGGAGGTGTTCCTGAGACTTCACCCGGAGAATGCCATTTTTTTCCCTACCACCCCACTTCTTCACAAACCACAAGGAAGAGAGCAGCACAGGGCTCCAGGTCCCTGAGTATCTGCCAAGAAACACTCCAGGAAGTAAAGCATCCTGGCCCGGATTCCCAGCTCTGACACCATCTGAGGGTAGAGCCTAGCCTCACAGAGGTTTCCTGGGATGATGTCAACTCTCATGACAGCTCAGAGTAAGACAGCACTCCCCTAAGTGGCCATCACCTATGTCCAGTCCATTAACCTGTTTGGGGGAGGGAGCAGGCCAAGGCTAGAGAGGTAGCTCAGCAATTAAGAACACTTGTTACTCTTGCAGAGGACCAGGGTTTGGCTCCCAGCATCTACATGGTGGCTCACAGACATCCATAATTCCAGTTCCATAGGGTATGACACCACAGGCACATGGTACTCATCTGGTGTGCACAAGGTACTCACCTCTCCATTAATTCTCTGTTGGCATTGTTCACCACAGAATAATGAGGAGTTGCAGGACTATAGCTCAGTGCATGAGGCCTTGCATTTAGGTGCTCGGGGAGGAAGCAAGGGAAGGAAGGGAGAGTAGGAGGAGAAGTGGCATATTCCTCTGATCCCAGAGCGCAGGAGGCAGAGGCAGGATGACCAAGGGTTCGGGGGCAGCTTGGGCTACATATCAACACTGTTTTGTTTTTTTTTAAAGTTTTCTTCTCCTAGTCCCCAAGTTTGCATGCTTGTTCCTTCCCTTCTCCGCTGAAGTCAGTACACATGGAGTGTTAGTGTCCCTTCACTGGGGCACACATACTAGGGCACAGTAAGTCCACAATGCCAGGTTCCTTATGTCCCTACTGCGATTTCCCTTTGCAAAATAAAGATGCTCTCTTTAGGACCTCCTTGCCTAGAGTTACAAGGAAAGAAAGAGAAAGTTGTGGGAAAGGTAGGAAACCAGGACTGAGTATGGACCCTGTCTAAGATGAATCTGCTCCACCTTGGGACAGTTGACAAGAGCCTTCCCTGAACTTTCTGTTGCTGTGTTGTCTTGCCTATAAAAACTCCATCATATTCTAAGGAGTTATAACTGTCATTTCTCAGAATTTTTATTCCTCCCCACCACTTTCTCCCTTTCAAGAACTTAATTCCAGGAAATATCCTTACACACACACTCCCACCCACACGGCCCCATTGGTCCTAGGATGACCTCAGCTGGGCTCCACCAAAGGGACTATCTCCAGCATCAATCTGGTGTCTTCCCTGAGGTGTCCCTCCACAGCTGCCCCCACTCCGTGCCTTTCGTACCCTTTCCACAACACTGAGGAGTGTGGGTTGATTAGGGACACCCCTCTGATGGCTGTGTCTTCTTCTACTGCCTTACCAGGTCCTTCCTGGACGAATGGGCAGCTTAAAACCAACCCAGTCACAAAAGGGGGCAGAGAAGCCCCTGCACTCTGATCTCTTTCCCCCTGAGAACCAGGGACCCCCTCCTTGGTTCCCAGTTACTTCACCTGTTCCGGGGAATGCCTGCCACACCAGCCCCCAGCTGTCTGCATCCCTGGGTACTTCCCACCTGCCCCTCTCCTACAGGCCTAGCCAGGTTCCAAGTGCCTTTGTCAGGCCTGAAAGGGAGCTTCTATAGATGTCCCCAGTTGCTGCTGTCACTCTGGGGTAGACGTCTGGCTGGGTGCAGTGAGAAGAACAAAGCAGGTGTGGCTGCCAGGGAGGGCCAGCCAGCAGGGCCAAGGGACAGAGACACCCTTTCTTCAGGGACAAGAGCTGCCAGCTTCCCAGATTCCTCACTTCAGCATAGTCCCAGGCCACTGCAGAACCAGCCCTGCACAAACTCCCTTGTTGGCTGTTGGCCAGAACTCAACTTCTCTATAGCAATGCAGTGAGCCAGGAAGTATCCCCCAGAGACCCAATGTGTGCAACAAAGCCTGCTTTAAAGTAAAAACAAGTACTGATAAGTCATGGACTGGAATCCAAAATCCATAGTCCTGGGAGTATCCAGGTTAAAAACACAGGTTAAGACCGGAGTTCAAGTCCTGGCTCACACTAGCCTGATGACCTTGAGCAGGTTACTTACACTGTTGTTCATCGGCAAAGTGTGGACAAGAGAGGGTTTTGAATGTCTGGCCCACACTAGCTCTTTGATTTTGGAGGTTATCATTTTCCTCACCTCCTTAACTGATTTCTTTGCTCTAGCCATACATGCTGTATGATCCACAAACCATCAGAGTGCCCATTCCTTAGCAGCTCCTACCACCTACTGACTAAAGCTGGAGCTTGAACCAGACTGTTAAGACACATTCTCAGGACCATCTAACACCAACCAACCTCCCAACCCTAGTCCCTGCCCAGCACAGACAGATGACCTGAGGGTCCCCAAGATGCCTCCTCCTCACTCCAGCTTCTCCTCCCATCGTCTGCAGGTAACCCATGCCCAGGTCTCCCAGCAGT